ATATAATAATATAATTTTTGTTATTTATATATTTATTGTTTATATTTTTTATACTTTTAAATTGTAATATATACTATTAATGTTATATCAAAATAATTCTTATTTATTGAAATAGATTTATTTTATTTTATATTTATTATTTTGTTATTATTATATTATATTATTATAAAATAAATTATTTTTATTTAATTTTTTATTTTTTTTTATTTTAAAATTTAATCTCTTACATGGTTATTAAATTATTCAAAGGTAAATATTTATTATTAATATTTAATATTCTATTGTTATTATTAATTGGTTATTATTATTAATTAATAGGTGAGGCCTGATGGCCAAAGGATGGTATTGCCTGCAAAAAAGAGATGGCACACAGTATGTGTAGACAATGGCTGGCAAACAAATAAAACAGTTGCTAAATTCAATGTGTAACGAATGGTGGTTCGTAGTGGATCAAATAGAAAAGATTGTTGGCAGGCAGGAAGGAGTAAACAATCGAGCGTACCTAAGTAATGAGCGAGACTCGGCATCATCTTCACTCGGTTTCGGACTTATATGCAGCCGACGAGATAGAAGTACTTCTTTTAGAAGAAATTCGTGACCTGGAATTACCAGCTTCTGCATATTCTAGACCTGAAGATATTCAAGATTTTGATATTGGTATGACAATACTTTTAAAGATATAAATTATTTTTAGTAAAATTTGATAACAAAAAAAATATTATTTTTATTATTTTAAAAAAATCAAAATATAGATATAAATTATTTGATATTAACAGCAGGTAGTAGGACAGGGGGGCAAATTAGCTCCCAACCTTTGGAACTGGATTCACCAGGGGTTCATTCAACAGTCCATTCTTGGGACTCACATGCTAATTATCATGGTCACTATGGCTATGGTGATCACCATGGCTCTTCCTCAAATGCTTTGGCTTGGCCAAGAGCAAGTCATTTAGTATTTTATTGTGATATACAGGGGCATCTTAAAACAGCTATTGGTGTTATTAGACTTTTATTACTTGTAAGTAGCATTATATTTTAAATATTTTTTATTTATCAATTTCTAAATATTTCTGAAACAATAAGCTATATTAAACCGTTTAAATAGATATCATCTGCAGCGTGTTTGGCAACATTATGCAGTTCCGGCACTGCCAAGGTCAGCTTATTTATGTTGCCTTTAGTTGGGCGGCTGCGTTTCATGATCTTTGTAGCAGTTTTCTGTTTTTTGATCACTGCATTACTCCTCTTCCTTGATATTTCGCATGTTATCTATGTTTTTCCTTTCAATTGGACAAAATTGGTAAGTAATCAGTTTATTAATATGTTATTTTTAATATTAATATTATGAATAAAATTTAAAATGTTAAATATATATTTATAAAGGAAAAAATTTTATATATATATATATATCCTAATACTGATATATCTGATAGAATCCACCTCTTATAGAATGCTTGGATATTCACTGGTATAGGCTTATCTTATGCCTTAAGTAGTGCATTATTAGCATGCTCTATATGGGAATATCATAGTGGTGGCTGGGTACCAAAACGCACTCGTTCTCAGTTGTCTGCTGCGGCAGCACTTGGATTGTCATGTGCTATTTTAGCCTTCTTACTTTCATGGATACATGGACGCAGTGAATCAAGTTGTAGGAGTTCAGATAATCGTAATCACACACCAACACAACTTTATAAACCTGTTGATAATTCTTCCTCTTCAGGAGTAAATAATTTTATTTGTTATTTATGTAACAATCTATAAAAATATTTAAATTGTTGTTGATAATTATTATTTTTTTAGGTCACTCTAAAAGAGCGTAGCCCTAAAAGACCTGCTTCATGGATTATAAAAAATCAACAGACAAAAAAACAAAATATAGATAATAATACAAACACAAATAATGGTCATCATGATAATGATAATCATACAAGATACAAGCAAGATGTCAATCGAAAAGATCATTGGGCTTCTGCAAGGGAACATTTTTTAAATATTCAAGAAAATAACGAAGATATTCAAAGAAGTGATATTGATATTGAAAGGAGAAGAAGAAGACGAAGAAGAGATGGTGATAGTAATTCAACAGCTGATGGAAATTTAATAAATACCAAAATCAATAGTGACCATATTTTGGAAGATAATAAAGCTAGACGGGTGCCGCGAAAATTGCCTCTGCAATCGGTAGAGCAATCTCGACCTTGGCCTGGTGAACATAGGAGTAATGGTTCTACACATATTAGAAATAAAACTTTACAAATGCCAGTGAATAATAAAGCACAAGACTATTGTGAAATGGATGGATCTAGTTCTATGCAAGTGACTCAAAATGGTTTTCACTGGGAAATGGAATGTACATCTAGTAACAGTATGGAAAAAGCAATAGATGTAGCTATGGATCGTACTGCCATGTGGACAGGACAATGGCATCCACCACCTGACGACGTCCAACCTTGTTCTAGCAAAACTATTGATCCTTACAGCTTTGCCTGATTGAATTTAAAAATCCGTACACATGTTTTAATAAATATTGGACTCATTGCAGTGAATGATTTTTGGGAACAGTTACATACTAGAAGTTTCCCTTGAAACATCATTTCGTAATATCATCAATAATATCTTCTTTCACTATTTGTATTAAGGAAAAAACAGAAATAATATTTTATCAATTTATGTTATTTCTAAATGAATTTATTTGAATTGAATATGTTTAAAATTACTGTATATGTCACTTTAATGTTAAAGTAGTGCACAGTAATCATGACATCTCTATTATCTTTTATATTTATATTTTTTTTTCTCTGCATAAAATGAAATATAAGTTTGAAACTAAATTGATGCAAATGCAAATATATATAATTGCATTTCACATTTAATGACAAAGTTTTATTATAATTAAGATTATTAAGTAATATCTTATGTCTAAACATTTATGAATCTTATATAAAACTATCATTGCCTTGTATATTATGCTGCCAAAAAGATAGTTTTTTTTTAATTTTCAAGTTTTGACATTTTGCAACCAGACTGCCCAATTTTGATATACAAATAATGTTTTATTTTAATAAACTTTCAGTACCAAATAATCTAATTTATTAGTTACAGGATTATTTATAAGTTACATTAGTAAAGATTAAAATATTTGTTTATTATTTTATTAAATTTTAATGATTATTTATTCTATTTTCATACATACTTAGTAATCTGTAAATGCTGATAAAAAATTACTAATTAAATTAATATCTTAATTTTATACTTTAATTTACTATAAATTTATGATATTACTATAAATTGTTTTTTAAACAAGTTTTTATTATAAAATGAATTAATATGCATGGAACATATTTAAATTTATTTATTATTTAATTATTAAAAATAATATTATTGTTATACAGAGATGGGCATAGAAATGTGTTTCATAAATTTTGACTATGATAAAAAAAATTATTTTTCAAAATTTAATTTACTATATGATATTCTGTACATAAACAATTGAATTTTATATAATATGCAGTCTGGTAGTTCAAAAAAAGTCCATTTCTATTTTTATAAAAGATACACTATTTGCAGGCAGAAAATATGAGCAGCAATGGTGTTATATTACTTATTTATTTTAATGAAAATTTCAAACCATTTCTAGTCCAGTACTCTTGTACAATCTTGTATCAACTGTATTCATCAAATTAAAGAGCAAAGTAATTTTTAGTACATACATATCGTATTAGAGGTACAATTCATCTTGAAAATTATCAAAAAATTGCGTTTCTTGACCAATTGGTCCTTGAAATCTCTTTTTATTATATAACAAGCGATATAGAACCGATCATATTGGGACCTCTGTTCTGTTTTAATTGATTAAGACTTATAATCATATAAACATGAGAAAATAATTTCAACTAGAATCATAAGTGACAACTATTTTGTCTTTTGATACAATATTAGAATATACATCTGGATCAGGCATAATTATATGTTGACGTGTATAACGCGTAGTTGTCTAACTAATTATTTAGTATAAGGAAAAAAATGCGTGTTCATATAGAATCATAAAGAAAAAAAGGAATAATATATATTATAGTAGCTTCGTTGTGTTAAAATATTGATGATGTAATTTTTAATTTGATTTTCTTAAACACAACGAAGAAATAAATGTAATTTTTTTTATAAATGGTACATTACTAGTGTACTGATAAAATATTTAAAAAAAATATGAATAGATTTCATGATAAATATATTGAGTGGAAATGTTATATGGTGCAAGATTTAGCTTAAAGTTTAAACAAAATGATTAAAAAAAATATACGGACACTGCCAGAAGAAAAATAACGCTCTTTGAGTGTCATGTATGTCAAATAACTTTGTTACTTTTCAATAACTTAGTATCAGAGGCTTTACCTCGCTACAATTTGCAATACCTCATAATAAATGAATTGTTAAACTTATATTTAGTATGTGAATCTACAACACTATTTAATATATTTCTGTATAAACTTTAACTGAAACGCTTCAGATCATAGCACAAATAATGAAAATTAAAATTAGGTTTGAAATGATTACAATTCATCCTAGAAAATAAAAAAGTAACTAAATATTACTATTTAAATGAAGTGCAAATCTGTTTTATCATTATCATTATAATTAACAAGATTGTTAATTTCTTTTATGATAATATGCATTTTCTTTACTTTTTATAAATAATATTTCATTAATGGAAGAATAATTCTTTCATTAATTATAGAACTAATTATTAAAATCGTATAAATTTTATTCTACTATTTCTACATTTTTTCTACTATTTATCCTTCTAATCATATTACCACAAAGTTTTATTTCTTATATTATAATTTTTTTTTTATGAATACTTTTTAACTTAATTAAAAATTTAAAATACAAAAACATTTGTATTAAAAAATAGCATGACAATTATACGATTTAGTATTAATATTATTTTCATCGTTAAATATAAAAGAATGTAAAGAGTTATGTAATTATAATTTTCTTTTTTATGTATATAATTTAATTATATTTATTTAAATTAAAAATATATAATATTTTTGTTTTAATTAATAAATGTTAAAATTTTATTATTTTCAAAATATATTATTAATATATATTACTCTTTTTTTGTTTGTTAAAATTTTATTATTTTCAAAATATATTATTAATTCATATTATTCTCTTTTTCAAATTATATAACTCTAATAAAATATTTTTAATTTGAGATGCTATTTGTTTATAAAAGCATATTTTATTTTAAATTCTTCTAATTTTATTTTAAATTTTTATTATCTGAAGGATTTAATTTAGTGCAGGGAATCAAAAATTTACATTATCTATAATAAATTTATTCAATTGCATTACATTTAAATAAGATAAAGAATATTTGGAACAAAATAATTTAATAATAAAATTTGTTTACGCACATTTATCTTATTCTTAATGAATATAACAAATAAAGACAATCCAAAAGAGATATATGAATTACATGACACAAAAATTTTTTGGCCTAACTTTTAATTTACTTGATAATATCAAAAATAAAATATGAGAATCATTAGAACCAAAAAATCAATTATTGTAAATTTGGATGTTTTGCAATTAATATATATTGCAATTATATATTGAGAGTATATGAAGATTCATTTCTGTATTTTAAAATGATGCTGTTAATATTGCTAATAATAAATATGAGTATATAATAATATTTTTATTATAAACTCATTATGAAAATAAACATATTGAACATTTTTTGAAATGAAAAAAGATTACTGTGAGTTAATATATGTGGTTGATGAAATTATCAAGAGTTATATTACATATTAACCCTTTGATAATTTCTCATATTTTATAGTGATTATTCTGGACAATAACATTTAATGATCTATATAAAATTTTAAAGTTATTATTATGATTTATTCTTTTAAAAATTATTTTGTATATTTAGAAATAATAATCGTTGTATACTATAGATTATGCAAAATTCATAAATGCATATATTATATGTTAATTATAAAACATATTACAAAATGTTAGTAATTAGCAAAAATATTGTTCTATGTTAATTAAAATGAAATATGTTAATATTTATTAGTTACTATATTATTAAGAATTGATTGGCGTTAACAAGATATAAAATTCTTTAATTAAACAAAGGAAATTGTTACATAACAAATGAGATTATTAAAAATATTCGCGATTAATCTAAAACTCTAAATTATTATTTTTTGCCAGTGCCAAAATAATCATAGAATATGTATACATGTATAATCATATTTGAATATGTACAAATACATGTACACATATAAAAATATTAATATTTTATTAATTATTGAGACTGATGCGAGATAAATGAAAGAATGAGAAACTTTATTTTAAATGTATTTTGATTCAATAATCTCTATCAATATTTTATTATAATATTTATATTATTTAAAAAATTTTCTGTAATAGATATAATTTTGAAATCTTTTTGCATATATTGTTCTGTTTTTTATTTATAATTATTTATCTAGATAAATATGCATATAGTGCAACAAAGTATAATACTTTATTTATAGAGATTAATGTATTTTTAAAAATTAAAAACTTCATAGGGACCAGTAATAATTTTTTTAATTGTTCATGTTGCTGCTTTCTATTTCTTTTAATTTTCCAACTATGTCTTCTAACTTTTTACGTTGTATATTTTGCTTCATTTGTTTGTTTTTATCTTGTGCAAAACATTGAATATCCATTGTTTTTACATAATGTAGTATAGAATTCCTTTTAGCATAGCAATGAAAAAATGATAAAATATAGCATCTAGTACAAAGAATTATATAAGGAAGAACAAAAAATAAAATACATTATAATAGTGAATATATGATTAAAAAACTTACTTTTTGTTTCTTGAAATTTGAAATGGAAACTAAAAGAAGATAAATTGAAAATAATTAAATAATCATAAATATTTATATGTTTAAATAATTAAATATTTAATGTTTAATTATGTCTCACTTGTTGTGGATGTCTTAACTGTTTCATAGTAAGATGCTTCCAATTGTTAAATCTCATCCATGCACATGAAGTATTATATATATTTGATAATTCAGACTGTGCCATAGTATGTACTGCAAATTGTGGATTTATAATTAATGGTTCATGTTGCAATAATTCTTGTTGATATGAATGGTTGGAATAATATGGATCATATTTGGTAAAATTTTCTATAGATGATATTGCCAAAGAATTTGCCACTGCCACTAAAAAATAGATATATATATATATATATATATATATATGTATATATATATATACACACATACACACACATACACACATACATATATACATCTGGTGTGCGTGCGTGCGTGTGTGTGTGTGTGTGTGTGTGTGTGTGTGTGTGTACATGGTGCACATATATATATATATTCATATAATTTCATATGCTTATAAATGCATTAAAAAAATTGTAATAATTATAACAAACTCTTGGCTTTCTGAATATTTAATAATGTATCATAGTACTGTTTTTTAAATGTAACCAGCTCTGTAATAGATGCAGTTTGTTGTAAAGTGTTTAAACTTTTTTGTTTTGTTTGCTTCAGTGCAGATCTGTACATAAATAATCTTATTAAGTAAATTTGCTGATCATAAAAAATATTAAATTTACAGAGCAACTTTAATGGTACTTGTATAATAAATTTTCTATGTAGTTCTTTTTTTCACATTCTATTGTTTTTGTTTCATTAACTATATTATTTAAACTTTTATGAAGCAGATTTAATTGATCTGATTTTGGATAAATATGAAATGATTCTGAGGATTTTTTTTTAATATTTTTTTTTGTATCCTCTAGTACATTTATACTTTTATAACTATTTATGTTATTGCTCAAAATATCTAATTGATTATTGTTTTCCAGGTTTTCTTGATTTAAAAACTTGCAAAAATTGGATATAGAAGGAATAACATACAAAGGTTTGGTCTGAGGCAATATTGGAAATTCTGTATATGTAAAAAATGTTTATAATATTTGTATACATTGAATTGAAGTATGTTAATAATTAATAAATATAAAAATAATTTTACCGATCGAAGTTTCCTGTTCTACACGTTTTAAAAAATTCTGCAAGCTTGTTTTAAGCTTTTTGTGTGCTCTAAAGTTATCCATTAAAAAATTATCTTCTTTTAATGTCTGTAATATTGTTATTTATAGAAATTGTTACGAACTATTAAAATAATTATTACAAATATGAATTTTTTTTACCTGTATATTTATTATTGTATCTTTAATTTTTTCTTCACTATATACAATATCCATTTTATATATATCTTTCTGAATTGCTTGTTCATCTTTTAATTCTTGCTTAAAATGATTTTGTATTTCCATATTACAAAATTTATTCTTATTTAATTTACTATATTTTTTTATGTTTTTTGTATCATTTTCTACGTTGTGTAAAATTTTGCAATTTGTTCCTGTTTCTATATACCTATTATCATATATTTCTAAATTTGAGATCTTATTTTTATTCTGTTTATTTGAAACTATGTTATTTTTATATAATTTTTTTAAACATATAGTATCCTGTAATATGATTTTTTTAGTTTTTATTTTTGAATAACAAAATTAACAATATTTCTAAATACAATATTATAATATGAGATATAAATATAATGTGTGTGTGTGTGCGCGCGCGCGCGTGTGTAATTTACTATAGTAAAGTAATTGTCATAAACCTGATGTAATGCATGAGACACATTAGTTACATTACATTGATTCCAATTATTAAACTGATCAATAGACAATTGAAAATATTTATCATCCATTGATTTAAAAATTTCTTGATAGTCAGATGTAGAATTTTGATAAAGATTACTTTCATATAGAAGATGAGGAGTATAACTCCATTTTAATTTTGATTGAAGTTTTAATGATTCTTCTTGTTCATTAATGTTTGATGAAAGATTTTGTTTACTAGTAACATGAGATTTTATATATGGAATATTATAATTTAATGTATCATACATATAATTCATATGATTATGAATTGTTGAAATTTCATTAGGAGGAAAACCTTTGAATACTTCAGGTACTGAAGACATAAATTTTTCATTTAATTCAAAATTTTGAGATGTGTCAATCAAAATATTTTGATTTAAATGGATTTCTGAGTTTTTGTCCAATATTTCTATATTAGGTTCTTTGGAAATTGCAGTAACTCTTAAAAGGAAGAAATTATTATTACATTTTATCAAAAATATCAAGAAGTAATTTAATGAAAATCATACTTTTGATATAAAGATTTGGTGTTAGATGTTTTATTTAGTTCAGTAATTTTATATATTAGATTTTTTATTGTATCATTTGATACACCTTTTGGTAATGGTATTATAGAAATTATTTGTTGTTGTATATTACTATCCAAATTTTCAGATAAAATCAGTAGAGCTTTTAATACACGTTCATATGCAATTATACCATCATCAGGATGATACATATTTAGAAATTGATTTATTGCATTAATAACGTTTGTGTCCTTTAAATTTTGTTGTAAAGCAGTCCATGGAAACGTAGAGGTATTATTTATTGTAATATTCTTATTTTCCATAACTGCTAAAATAAAAAATTAATTGTTTAATTAGATAATTCAAAATTTTTTAGCGCGTTTTCGGTTTAGTTTATGTCATTTCTCTATTGTGTATATATATATGTAGCTAATTATATATATAATATATAATATATAATTATTATATAATATATAATA